ATTAGAATCCGGAAAGAAGTACCCGTAGTTACATGAACTTCAGTTGAAACCATGTTATATCAGTTTGTGCTGTGAAAATTTTATCATGTAGACTATTTCATATAAGTGTCGGGGTTTATCAAATTATGCTTGGATATACTTGAAATATTACAAATCACTGCATGAACTCTTAATGTATACTTTTATGTTAATTTGTATAACATTAATATCGTATTGGGTATATAGTTATTGTACAAAGTTATACATGTATGATTTAATGACAATTCGTGTGTATCCGTTGTCAGTTGGTACACCGGAAACGAGCAAAATTATCAATGATTTTTGGGGTAAATACACAAATGTGATTTATAAAAAATATATATAATGTTAAAGATATTTTTCAGATTTCGTTACTTCCATAACTTGAAAACCAAACACAGACCGTGCATGGACACAGTGGAAATGAAAACAAATCGAACGGCTTACTTGCTCTTCGTTACCTGCCATTCATAATTAGCCACACCTTGTTTTAATACAGCATAATTGTACTGTATACCAATGAATATGGTCATAATACGGTTTCAATCAAGATAAAAAAATCACAATGAAACTGTAATAGTTTACTACTCAAAAACATTCCACATTATTACTTAAATGGGATTGGTCTACAATGGGCATGCTATCCATTAGTATACCTTAGTATTTCAAATATTGATAGAAAACAATAGAAATGTATAATTTGAATATATAAATGCATGTAATATCTGTCTATGTATCTCACACATGCCAACCAAATACATATATAATTCTTTCGTGGTATGTTGTTATGTCTTACGAGCCAGTACCAAGTGACTTTTTGTGATTCTTAATAGAAATAATGGTCCGGGCTGTACATGTACTCTGTAACTTTAAAAAAAAGGAGGGGTGTCATTATTTTACACGAGATATTGTGTAGAGCCCTGTCTTCTAGTGAGAAACCCATACATATTATTTCCACCGGAATAAACCAGTATTTATTTTGTCAAGTGACACGGCGTGAATTTCTGAATGTTCAAAAACACACAGTTTCACTTTATGAAAAAGTACTGATTTTTTCTTAAGACTTTATCCTATTAAAAAACAAAAAAAACAACAACTGAAAAAAAATGAAATATTTAAAAAGTTTAAAAAGAAAAATAATACTTGAAGCGTCGTTTCTATTGTATTTTTTTTCTTTTTGCACCAATCAGATCACAGAATGTCACATGGTTTATATGGTGATACAATAAACGATAGTACATGGTGATTATGCATATAATTATATATCAATGTGTGTATAATGCTACTACTGTTTAACTATGAAACTGGAACACACTTGAATTATTACGGCATTTATAATTTGAATATGTTCATTTTTTCAAAAGCCATGTTTTCTGACAACCACTGTGTTGGAAATATGCGGCAGTTTCGGTCTTGACATTGCCGAAATACGACAACATGACTGAAAATCATACATACATTGTATATAGCAACGTTATACTAAATGTCTTTACCAATAAACAAAACAAAACTGTTCTTAAAATTGACATTTTTATCGGGCCATACCGCCCACACGCGCATGCACCAGTGATGTGATGTTATGAATGTTATATAGCTATATTTAGCTGTACGTAGCTTTATATACATCCATATAATCATGTTTGTTTATGTAAGTATTTATATCAGTTTTAAATAAAATATATTTTAAATGATTAAGATTTTAAAGATTGCCACGCCTTTTTCCTTGAAATTTAATACATCCGTTTGTTGTGTTGTTGTTGTTGTTTTTTGTTTATTATTATTATTATTATTATTATTATTATTATTATTATTATTATTATTATTATTATTATTATTATTATTATTATTATTATTATTATTATTATTATTATTATTATTATTATTATTATTATTATTATTATTATTATTATTATTATTATTATTATTATTATTGTTATTATTATTATTATTATTATTATTATTATTATTATTATTGTTATAATTATTATTATTATTATTATTATTATTATTATTATTTATCTGCTGCGCACAAATGGCGTTGCGTGTTAATGGACCTTGTCTGATGTACTTTTTATTACGATGCATCACATAAGATTATACATGAATATACATGTGTACAATGTCATTCTAATTATGAATGGATGCAGATAACAGACAATCTGTTGTCTATTCTTATCATACATGTATATACAATTACAACAAAAATGCCAAAACATGAATATGTCTGGTTTTTTGTGTTTGGTTTTTGTTTGTTTTTCTTTCTCCAAAAAATATCGATCCTCTACAGGCTTTTCTTTCTTTCTTTCTTTTCTTTTTCTTTTTGTAAAAACTTTATCAAAATACATCGATAATCAGTAATATTGAAAATCATCAATATAAAGGTAATTGAATTGAAACCAAGTGCATATGATCTTATTGACACTACAGTTAAACTTGTGTGATAGACCACCTGAGAATAAAGATCACCCTGTAAATAAAGACCACTCTTCGACAAACCCCCATTGATAAAAATACAACATAGTAACTCCAAATAAAGACAACTTGTCAATAAAGAACATGCATGGTTTCTTTTTGGATGACATTATTTTATTCACAGATTTGACTGTATTTTATACAAGCGTTAATGATTACACTACTGTACATGTAGTAATAATAATCAAAAGATGATTTTTTTTTATAAAACTGCAGTGACTAGATCAAATGTATTGATGGGATTAACCAATTTTAAGCGGAACGCCATCACATGAGTTAGCAAGATAATAAAAAAAAAAAACAGAAACCACAACAACACCAAAAAAACACCAACAAAACCGAACAGACGATACGATATCACGTTTACATGCAAGTTGTAAAATTTTGGTGAAGTTAGTATTTTGTCGGTACTTTTTGGATATTTTGACATTTTGATAATAAAGGTGGACTGAACGTGCCTTATGTAAAACGTATAATCCTTTCAGGTGTTCACTTGACAAGATATTTTAATTTTTCACGAAAATAGGTATACCAAATTACTCCAATTTTATCATAGGATCATTTCAATACGTCTACATTATTAATAGATTTTATAATAGAGGAAACTATTTAGAAAAAGAATAAATATTTACGACCCTTCGAAAAAATGGAGGGTAAGATATTACTGGTATTTTGCCAACAAATTTATACCTTCTATAGACTAATACCAATTTTGACTGAATGCGCAGACGGTTCTCAAAAAGCATTAGTCATCTATAGGTTACAAATCTGCTTCAAATTTGATAACATGATAAGTATTTTTTTTTCTTTGAAGATGAACAATTGCCACTACTTGTTTCTATTGTTGAACTTTATTATTAAAGTGACATTATACTCATTATTTAGTTGTAAAGTCGAGCCTTTAAGTAGTTACATATTTCAAAAGATTGACTATTTTAATGGTCATTGACCAAGTATTAATAAAATAAAATAATAAGATAAAATATAAAAAAATGCCTAAAATTAAAAAAAAAGACCACCCAACTCCTTTATTGAACTCTGAAAGATGTTATTTATAGATTGTTTAATAAGTCAAGGTTTTGCAAAGTAGAATACAAATAAAAAACAAAACAAAAACAAAACAAAGATACGACAGAATGCAATTTCTTTTTACTTTTACCGGTGTACCCACCATTTACACTTAGATGGGCAAAATCAGCTACAAATGTAAAGACACTTTAGTATTTCCACGCTCTGACATCAAAAAGCTTGTACACATTTTTTCTTTCTTTTTTACAAAGAAATTTCGTACATTTCCGCCATCAAAGGCTGTCAAAGTGTAATTGTGGACTGTGGTATGCTTGTGAAAAAATCAAAAGAGAAGATTTATTGTTGTATATGTTTGTTTATATATGTTCATACATAGATATTAAATGTTTGAACAGTCAGTGATGTAATGCCGATATTACAATTACTAATTCATGAAGTTTTGTGTAAGTTTAACCTTTAACCTTCTGAAACCGGAAGTGACCCATGCAGTCTGATTGGGCTCTATATACTGTTGGTAGCTAATTATTTATACATATTTTGATATTGAAGCTAAACTTTGAATGGACTGCTAATGCAATTCTATGGGTTACGGTTTAAAGGCCAATTAAGCTTTCTACATCGCATTATTTAAAAAAGAAAGAAAGAAAGAAAGAAAGAATGAAAAAAAAAAAACTTAAAAAATCGCAAGCTTTTTATTTTTGTTGTTCTCATACAATTTCCAAAAAGTTACTATTTGGCTGTAAAAATGTATTCATATCTGAGAATTAATATGCCTTTAATAGTTTTCTTTTTTGGGAAAATGTTCCATTGTCTAAGATAAGCATCCAGACTGTCTCTTCTTTTAGACCGCTTTAAAATTACATCGTTAATTATTAGGTATGCAATATAATACTATATAGGCATACACGATTAGTGATGACTCATTTTCAGTTTGTTTGTTCATCATCATCATCATCATCATCATCATCATCATTATCATCATCATCATCATCATCATTATCATTATTATTATTATTATCATCATCATCATCACCATCATCATCATCATCATCGTCGTCGTCGTCGTCATCATCATCATAATTATAATCATCATCATAATCATCATCATCAATTCATAAAATTTACCACTTTTAATTGTTTGTATTTTGACGCGTTTAATTTTCAGCATGAAGATTGACATATGATCTTATTTTGGAAACGTTTCAAGATTATAGATTAAGTCGTTGACATTGTAGCGTATTAAGTGTTTGTTACACTCCTTGCGGCTATTTAAGCTCTCTGCAGTGTCGTATTTATTTACTCATACGAGACGGATTTAGTCAACAATAATTGCCAAAAATAGTCAAAAAGGTGGAGTTAATAAAGTGATAACGTGAAAGTAAACAGACAGATAATAAAGTATAATTTTCTATTGACACTATGTCATTTAATTGATATAGTGCGCACAATCATTAAAAAGTTGATTGCCTTCGTCAGATAACAACGCTATCAGTAATGATCGCGCACTACTTTATGTAGCGGAAGAATATACACGGCTGGCGGTTAAGCGTCTAGCGTTCATTCATAATCGGCGGAAGTGTATATTACTACACCATTCATAAGAACGTTGAAATATCGATACATGAATTAGTTGTAGCGTATGTACACACAGAGTGAACACAGTTTGTTATTAGGTAGACTGAAAGATAAACGAAAGAAAATAAGATTCATCAGGGATACTGAAAGTATAATGCGACAGGTTATTCAGCACTGTGAACTCATATCTGTGGATATGTCAACGGTTGAGGAGAATTTAGCAGTTGGAATAAGTGTAGAAACGGCAGTTGAGAGTTTAAAGTCGGACGCGGCGACCACTCTCATTCTTGATTGTCGGCCATTCATTGCTTACAACGAAAACCATATCTTAGATGCGTCTAATGTGTACTGCCCTCCTATATTAAAACGACGGTCGAATGGTTTTGTTAGCCTTGAAAACATTGTTACATGCGAACGTAAACGAAAGTTGCTGAATGAAGACCATTACAGAAGTGTTATAGTGTATGATGCCGACACAGCCGAGATTGCGCAGTCGGCAAAAGACTCGAACTTGTACGCGGTTCTCAAAAGTTTGCGACAACAGGTGGATTTGGAACAAGTGAACTTTATTGTCGGTAAGTAATAAACTGTTTTGTTTTGTTATTCTAAAGTTGAAAGTTATGGAGTTGAAACATTCAGAATTTTTATGTATATTAAATTTTGTAGTGTTTTATTGCGGTGCTATACATACATACATTACATGTGTGTGTATTAATTGCATTAATATCTTGCAGGTTGAACAAAAACCACACTAAAAAATCGCAAAGTGTAACAGTATAAAATGATGTTGGCAGAATGACTTTTTTCATGCATGCTATGTATCAAATTACGGCTCAAATGTCCTATACATTTAAATGTCATCTTTTTGTAATGTAAAAAGCTCACATAAAAATCGCAAGCTGTGGTTTAATGCAAAATTAAGTATATGTAGATGATGTGATAACAGTCTCAAGGCGTCAGATTTATTACTTAAATTATTATAAACATAATAAAAATGTAATATCTCTTCGAAAAATTTGCTTGTCATGATCGGCAATTTGTTCAACGCTTCAGTAGCCCTGATGATTGAGATTATGTATAAACCCCCATATTTCAATTAAGTTTACCCTACTACTATTTAGATTTAAGTCTTTGTTACTATAAGATATGTGCACCTTGGCATTCATATTTCCCTACAAACTTGCAACGACGATTACAGGATAATGCGCGCACAATATGTCCCGCTCTTCGTAATCATGTCTCCGTATTTTGGCTTATTTTAATATTTATAAATTGAAGTACTTGTGATCCTAACTTTATATTGGTAACAGTACTAACTTATTTTGCACGCAAATCTTCCTTTAGAAACATCATGGACTTAATTTTTATTGTATTTTGGATAAACAATACCGAAGTAAATCTGATATTATGTTTCAATTCTGGTGCATTTATTTTTTTTCTTTAAAGGCACATTATGCCTTGGAAAAAAAACTGCGGTTTTTGTCTTCGGAAAGACGAATATGTTTTAAAATATTGTAATAATAGATTAAGAATATATGAAATGCTTATCACCTGAAGAAAATAGCTGTGAATATGAAAACATTTCTGATGGGTGTAGCGAAATGTATTAAACAAAGTAGTATTTACATACAAAATACTTCTCCACTACAACTGTACTGATCGCCAAGACGCAAAAGTAAAGTAGCACATAATTATGACCAATGAATAAGTTATGGACATCAAAATATTTTAAAGCTTTTGAAAAAAAGCATTTTTAGACTTAATGGGATTTTTAAGTTTTAATCTGTGTGAATGTTTATATATAACTTAATGCTATTTTTTCCGGCATGAAGTAGGTGTTTTAATGTGTACGTAAAAGAATGGTATATTTATGTTCCGGCAATCCGGGACGCCAAAATTTCATTTTAAATTGAACCTCTGTTATCTTCATATTGTCATTGATAAATACTTCTTTTTATCTGTATGCACTCATTTCAGCGGTCATGAAATGATATCTAGTCCAAGTTTACCTATTTATAATTTTAAACAATAGATTGAATATTGTGTAATGACAAAATGCGACACATTCCTTATCAAGAATGAATGTTTTGTTTAATATGTTTATCCGGAGACTTGTGTACCAGAATATTTTAAGGTTACGGTTTTTGAACAACTGCGTGTTATTTTAGCAAAGTTTTGCATTTTTAGCATCATTTATTCATATAATTTATAAATTGTAGATAGTAAAATAAACCTAAATTAGTCCCATATTGTACATAAAGATATTTAATCACAACAAACCTTTTGTTGATATATATTATTATAATATTAAAAAATGTCTTTATATGAAAAATGTGCATTATTTCTCGTGGAAAATGTATTAATACAAAGTAATCATTCAGGTTATTATTAGCTCAAATATACGTTCAATCTTTTTTAATCACTAGTCATTCATTACGAATACAAAGACATGACCCCTGAAAGCGGATTTATGTAAAAAAAAACGCGTTTTAAAGGCGTTAATATTACGGAGTTAAGCAAGATCTACAATTGACCCACTGACCAGTGCCCAATAATCATTCAATCGCCTTATAAGAGTATAAAGTATTTTTGAAAAGACTTTAGGGGCAGTGACATTTTATCTTCTTTGGCTACATTGCATGTCACTGTTCTATTTTTAGACCAAAGTTATATAATTATGTATATATAAAGCTGATTGTTATTACGTTAATAGTAGTACTTGTATTTTATTTTTAGCTCGACTATTCTTAAAAGTCAAGAGTTATTGTACTTAATCCTGCGTCGGCTTCAGCGTCACACTTTGGTGTTTTTGCGTGCAAGTTAGTATCTTCGAACTAAACACGTTTATTTGGGAAGATAATAAGAGGCCACTGTCCAAAGCCCAAAACCCTTGCATGGATTTTGACAGAATTGTGGCCCTTTTTGAACCTAGAAAATTTTACATTATCCAGACATGAGAAAAGTCGAGCATGCTGTCCTACCGACAGCTCTTGTAAGTCATCTACCGTAACGGTAACTAGACTGATATTAAGCAATTCTATTTTCAAGGTCGGCTAAGATGCTTACACGCTATTGGAATTTTAAGTGCTGTTAGGTAAATGGTATCACCCCTTTAATAAGCAATAATCGATATGGTACCAATTCCGTGTCGCAATGTCGAGTGAAACCAAGGTGTGCCGATTCATTGTCTGTCTTAACTAGAAAATGTTAATGAATTTTGTATTCTATTGTTACAGTACAAAAAGGGGAGTGCTAAAATCAATTACTTGTGGCCAGTTGTTCTTGCTGATAGCTATATTGTCTTTAATTTATGCATTTATCATTTTATTGTAGCCCGTAAACTGGTGTTAAGTAATGGTCAGCGCGCGTTTAAGTACTGCGTTTATAGGGTAGAAACAAAATCAAGAAAGCGTCTTTTTTCACGTCGTATTATTATGTTAATCATTTTTCAAGTTCGCAAATGTTATAACGAAGTTAATAAGTTATTCTGTTATAACTTTCGAAATACGCGCTTCTTTTAAAGTGTTTCCGCTAAAGATATGTATAATAGATTTTGTACCGTGAATAGAGGAACGAACTTTAACCAAGATAATAATCTTCCTTTTTTGTTGACAGGTTGTGACACTAATTCTGTTTTACAACTTTTCAAAGAGACATAAGGTTACAATGTTATTTTTCCGCTCTCCTACGAAGTCACGATTAAACTGAGCTTTTTATTAAATTCATACAGTCATGGCCACAAAGCCCCCTGCCGAGTCAGATCTCCTTTGAAAATCGCCCGCCAGTATTTGTTCATACGGGTTATTACCCAGTCATAAAGCAAACCGCGTGTAATAAGTTTACAATAGTTTGTAATAGAGACGAGCTTTCGAAATATTGTACAAGATAATTGTTTAAAAAAGAGGCTCTGAAATTTACTTTATTACAATAAACTGTGGTTTTTGCGGTTTTGATGTCCCAAAATAAGGTTGAACATGTGTGTTTACATTAGGAAAATAGAAGCTCCACGTACGAACGTTATGTAACATGCATTTAAGGTATTAATTAATTAGTACTGTATAATTATGATCTGTTGTTTACCTACAAGAACATGTTATTCTTGTTCTAAAAAGGAAATTTGTTCTATATTCGCCACAAATTAACAGTTTATACAACAACAAAACAAAAAAAACACAAAAAAACACAACAACATACCCATACATAAACAAACAAAGAAACAAACAAACACCCCCCCCCCCTTTTACAAACCCAATACAAAACAAGTTTATTTGTAGGAAATAAACATTTTACATTATAAGGAAAATAGTTAATAGGCTAGTGGGCTAGTGGACACAAAATTGATCGTAACGTTACATACACATTCGTTGGCATGGATTAACAAATACATTTAACCTATTTTACATATTGAGGACACGAGCGCTACGTTTCCGCAGTTTAAAGGACATCCAAACATGAATGCGCTTCCGTCGTAAATAGTATTAATTAATGCCCGCAGGCGCTTTTATTTATGAATGAAAATCCCGGTGAAAAAAGTAGTCCCTCGTTTTCTGTGGGAGCGGCGGGAAAGCCAAAATCCAATAATTGAATTATTCGCTTAGAGTGCGAGTGGTTCTTTTACAGTTATGCTGGGTTTCTTTTCCAGTAGGTCAAATAACGAGAAAAAAGGAAAGAAATTTGTTTACGATTAGATAGTGCGAGCAGCGGATAGAAATATTCCGGAAACTGAGAGATAAAACGAAGATTAGCGTTAATCTTGATCTGTTTTATACATTCAACAGACGCTCTGGCTTCTGTCTATAATTACAAAAACACCAGGCAGCAAGTTTTTGTACCTGAGAAATCACTAAAGGTGATCTTTACCTGTCGACACAAGGTTTCCTCACATTAATTAAAAATTACGCTAACAGTACGCTGTAGGCAAAATGTAATTCTCTCTCGTCTAATGTACAAAGTGCTTGGATCTTGTTTACAAACATAAGAAGGCGTAAAATCATCGGTGTTGTTTACTAAACACATTTATTTCTGGACCTTCCTTAAACTGACCAAGATTGACCACACATATTTTTTCCTAGAGGTGTGGATAATGGATTGTTTTTCCGCACATTTTTAGTCTCATTCGCATTTTAGGTTTTTCCTGAGACCTGACCCTTTTCTCACAACGCTATACCGGAAGTCAAACGCTACCGGAAGTGCTTTTTAATGAGTTTCAAACGAGCGTATAAGTTTAAGTTGAAAGCGACTGTAATACCATTTTAAATAACATCAAATTGAGTTCCAGTGTTTTGTTATTTTAATGGCGTCTATAGTTTCCGTTCACCTCTTAACAAATTACCTTGAAATAGGGTTTAATTGCAGGAAATGCAGTTTTAATCAATGCGCGTAGCATAACAAAACTCGAGGCACGACCTTTTATGTCGAGTGAATGCGTTATTTGATACGATTGTTTGTTAGCATTTACACACGGGCTTTGAAAGACAGATTAACCCTTAATTTGCTGATTGTATTTAATTGACTTGTCCAACCTCAATTTTTGGAACGGTTCATTATCAAATTTAGGGACATCGAGATGAAAATTCGACATATTAGCGCCTGGTCAGATGTGTATCTGCGAGATGCCACTACGTCGTAATTAAAAAAAAAACAAGAAAAGAAAAAAAAATAATAAAAAGAACAAAAGGCTGAATTGGTACATGCGGTTTCACATTATGATTCTTCAATTTTACAATTGTACATTAAATGAAGGTCAATAGTTATTTTAAAACATAATTTGATTTATTACTTTTTTCTTTCAGGTGGGTTTAATGCGTTTAAGGCAGATTATCCGCAGTTTTGCGTAGGCCAAAATGGAAATCCACCACTACTTACCTTGGCACCGCCCCCAAAATACACATCATGCAAGGTAGGTTATAACATCAATATATTATATTCAATCAATATAATTATCTATGATATCTATCTATGGTCATATTCTTCTCTATAACACCGACAATAAAAAAACAATGGTTTATTTGATATTGAAAAAAAAATCGCACAATGTTTATTGTTTTAATGTAATGCGCAACATTGCGCCTAAAAATTGCGTGATAAGTTACTAATGAAGTATCGTGTGAAAAGACTATTATTTATACATGATTAGGAACCACACCCGCAATAGGCTTTCATGTCACGCTATATAATCATCTTCATACTGTAAAATAAATTGAATTTCTCAGTTAGAAATGATATAAGTTATTTATTTAAAACAGTAAATTCAATGTAGCCTGATATCACTGTAAAATTTAACATGGTATGGCATTTTCTGAAATATATTATAAGGTTTCTCCCTTTTTGATCAACAAGAAAAGGTTTTGAATTCTAGGGAACGATGGTCCGTTGAAATAAATACCCTAATTTACCCGATCACTCCTAATAAATTTTCATGTCGCAACTTAACATAATATTAGGATATTTGGCATGAAAGCAGGCACGGAATATTGATATTTTTATCACGTGTAAAATAACAAGCCTATTTTAAAAGGTTTGCCCTGTTGGTAATTATTGTATTGACATGAGATAATTGTATACATGATGATATTAAATAGTCCGTCACCATTCCATTCACGTACAGCACTACGTGTTCAGATAATTCACACTTTATTATCAGTCCCATCAGTGAGAGAGAAAGAAAAATGAGAATTGGTTTTAATTAAGGATTGTTTGCGGTCGTATTTATATATTGACCACGGAAATTTCATCACTATTCGTAAACCACGATGTGTAACGATGGGTGAAGTCATTTGTGGTTTCGTTACGTGGTCCCAAATCGGTAAATACAGCCATGTTTACAATTGTAATGGATCTGAGCCAATATTGCGGTTTTGCGGTTTTAAATCGACCCACTGCCACACAGAAAAAAGTAGTCCGGCATATTGAAAAGACGTGTGTGTGTTTTTTTTAGTAGTTTAGTAACGTGACTATATATAGCGTTAACATAATGCAACACAAATCTTTACCTTGTAAGGTGGTTAAACTTATTACGTAACGATTTGTTGGCAGCCAAGAAAGACCGTTAAAACTTTCTTTTAAGAAAATAGTAAACATTTTGGCCATGATTATTTAAATGTACCTTGAATAAAAACTCCCCACAAACAAGCCTATTTTGTCATTTTATAAAGCCATATATTACCAGAAAGTCACGTTATCTTTCTGTTGTAAAAACCCTAGGCAACATTATCGGATTTTACCGGTGATTCAAAATGACAAGTACCGGAAATTCTCAAGTAAACACTTAAAATTGGATGGATTGATAACGTGTAACCAGTTGTCCTTGGCTTATATGATCAATGCAAAAGAGTATCTTTAATCCGCGGTGATCAAAATATAAACGTTATCAGCAGTGTTAAAAGAGAAAGATGCGGGCGGACGGACGGAAGGAAAATTTAAGAAACGGGCACCTATAGATACTAGTTACATATCAATGCTAACCAAAATCATCCGTGCCGTATGATCTAACCAGCACTAATTGCTATTCAGTCTTTACATAATAAAGAAATTTTCCCTAAAAATGATGAATGGCCTTGTCCAGTTTGAAAGATGGAAAAGTCCATGTAAGATATATAAGTGGTAAGGGTTAAAAAAATCCTCCCCAATCACCAGTTCGTGGTACAGCCAGTACGGGTTTAAGCCTATGACATTATATTTAGATCCATGTCCCTATTTAAGTGTATCAATATTCGTCATAAACTTTAATTCTGTTATAGATTCATATTGGATACTTAATATAACATGTACGCAAATATTCAGCTACTGAAAGCAAATATGAAATATTCATTAAATAAAAGCCGGCGTCTCCATATATCCTATATTCTGAACTTGTCAGTATGTAATTACCAATATTTAGTATGTTTGATAACGCCCACTCATTTTATTAAAAAATATGTGCAGAAATTTAGAAAAATCAATACTGTAAATTTGAACCGAACATGTGTAACGATTACCTTGAATTTGAAACCGGTTCAATACCGTAACATCTATTCGTTTAGCACACAAACACACCTCAAGTGTGTGGTTTTCAAAACACCAGTCCTACATGGGAATGCTTCATCAATTCATTTCTTTGTTAATCATAATATTAACTAAATCTTGACTAAGAGCAACGAAGTGAACACATCAATAAAATGACAGAGGTTTATGAAAGTCTAAAGTGTGTGGGAGATTTCATAAAAATTACTTGTTAGCGTGTTCTTAAAGTAAATTCAAGAGTAGAAACCAATTGTTAACATTGTTTTCAGCTGATTTTTGTTTTCAATTTCGTTTATTTACATATTCTGAATTCGTTTATTTTTCAGGGCGGACCAGTCGAGATATTACCAGGTCTCTATCTCGGGGATTCTTTACATTCTGCTCAACAGGACACACTCAGGGAGCTCGGAATCACAAGCCTTCTTAATGTTTCCACCACATGCAAAAACCTGTTTGAAAAAGACTTTGACTACATGAACATTCCCGTTAATGACAACGATTCCGCGAACATCTCATGTTGGTTCGACGAAGCTATTCATTTTATAGGTTAGTATATAGAATAACACACAAGTTATACCGCTTTTACACGCCAGTCATCACTCCCACGCAAACTGATAAGAAAATGTCAACTTTTGAGATAACACACATTTTTTTCTTCCTTTTGCTACAACCTACGGTAGCCTATAAGGTGACAGTGTATCATTGTAGGTAAATGTTTGACATATCTACTGGCCTAGACCTACTTCTTAATGTCCCCTGAACGGGCGTTAAATATACTGTACTTTTCTTAGTGTGACATGAACAAGATTTATCAAACTGTCTGGTTTCTCACATCATCACAAATAGTTTCTATTGATCTCATGGGGATACTCCCATCACCAAAGTTTTATTAGTTGTCTTGCACTTATTCAACGATGCTGCAGGAAAATATTGGTTTAAAGATAACATAAACCAAAGTGAAGAACTTGTGGTCACGTTGGATATCATAGTCATAACAAAAAAAAGGAGTAAATACAAATGTGTAATGTCAGGTGACCACTTGATATATATTATACAATACATGTACATGTAAAAATGACACATTCAGCCATTTCACGTTGCCACTTAAGATAATTAAATATTAACATAAACGTTATTTATGACATTTGCTAACCTGATGGTGTAATATCAGTCAATAGCTAGCTATATATAGGTAAAACAGCTTATTATTGCACCTTGAAACTGGCTACATTTGTTCTGCATTGTATTTGTTATATACAACAACCTTGACAATTTCAATAAAGAAGTCATTCAGTCCATAACATCACCAGATGAACGCTATATGGATGATAATGGGAGACGGTATTATTTCCATCGGATTTTTTCTCTCTCCTTCATTGTGTTAAAATGCCAGGATAAATTGCTCAGTGGGCGTGCTGACTATGTTTTTTTTCCTTCTCAATTGCCATCTTCCAGTCTGATATTTTCTAATTAGTTATAGGGGATTGTAACTAAAGTGTGGATTGCTTACAATATACGATACTGTCAAGTAAATTGCTTTGACAAAGATAAAGAAAATCAACTGTCTCGTTGCATTTAATATGAAGCTTTTATAGATTCTTCTAGTCCATACAGACACAGGTAGATTGTGTTCATGAAATACTTCAGAGATATTTTGCAGACCCTATAGCCTACATTTTAAACTGAAAAAAGTTCAGCAACGTCAGCAATAATTGCGGCTAATTTAGATAATTCTATAGCTAGTTTCTTAATCAAGTTTTGTTATATTTCAGACAATGCCCGAGACAAAGATGGCAAAGTTCTCGTGCACTGCCAAGCTGGGGTTAGTCGGTCTGCGACTGTCTGCATCGCTTATATCATGTACAAAAACAACATGCAACTGGAAGAAGCGTTTGATCACGTGCGTTCAAGACGCGGCGTCATTTCACCGAATCTGAATTTTATGCAACAACTGAAAGAATATGAAAAAGACATATTTGGATCAAAAACATACGACATGCCAGATTCGGTATCTTCTATTTCTAACTCATTAGCATCTGTGGACTTTGACCTGAGTTGCTCATCAACTTCAGTTTCCGATTTCTCAGCGTCCAGTGGTGCGTTTGATTTCACATTTGCATCTCCAGCCGTACCGCCATTATCACCAAGAGAGCTCGTGTCGCCAAGCTAAAGACGATGTTGATTGTAATTTTAGTTCGGTAAACTTAAAAAATAACGGAATTATGTTCCGTTTGGGTGCTACACAGTCGATTTGTTCGATTAGAAATGAAGGAGGAGTTGAAAGCTTTGGTTATAAAGAAGCTAGTTTTTTTTCAATTAAAGGTGCTATTTATAATTGAAGAACAGTGGACATCTTTGGGAACTTGTTGCCAAAGAACGATAATAAACTGTGATATTTACACATGCGGACGAAATTTAAGTTATGCATAATAAGGTGTTTTTGAAACTAAACAACCTTTTTCAGTTAGACAGCTTTCGTTCACTGTCTACGCAATGTATATAGTTTGTTCATATTTTTGTACATATGTTATTTCAATAATTACTTCGTGTTTGTTTTTAATCATCTTCGAACAAAGGATTTTTCTATCTGACACTAAAAACTACATTGACACAAGATTTACCTACGGTAAACTTATTTGACATCCCTCAAACACATAAAATGTTTTAATTTTTTTGTGTTGTGAAAAATATCTCAGGAACCAAAGAGAATTATATACATGTAAATGTATTCAGCATAATATTTTGTAACCATAATATTGTACATCTCACTTAACATACCTAGAAAATTGTACATTTTCAAACAACAATGTGCCTTAATAACAACAGAATATCCTTCATATGCTTGATTTTCTTCATAATTCCCATTTTGGATAAACAATGTAAAGTAAACGACTGTTATATGTATATTATAACATACTTTTGAATGTTAAAAATTGAGAACACCTCGCTACTATATGTTGATTCAATTTAGTACTGAGTAAAATGTATAGAAAATGCAATAGTTTCTTAAGATGATATTTGTTCAGAGTAATTTAGATTAAGAACATACAGGGTAATACTGATATATGATAATTATTTTGTTTTGTTCAAATATATAAATGAATGAATAAATGATGTTACAAAATTAAATATGCTTCCAATGTGTCATTATTAAAGCTGGAGTAGTGGCCTGGTGGTTAAAGTGCCTGCCTCTCAACCCAAGGATCATGAGTTCAAGCCCTACTTTGGTCACGACCATGTTAAATCATATGACATAAGTACTGGTTGGTTTCAGCAAGCGGACTCGAAAGTGATTAATATAAGTTGCAAGAACTTGTTTTGCAATCGAGCAAAAAGAAATATCTTTAAACTAAACTATCAAAGATGGGTAATGTAGATCATGTACTAAGTCTATTTTACCAAATAAGTGTTCACACACGTTCCTGTGTTCATATGAAGGAAAATAGAAACTCTTTGCTTTTTTCATTTTCCATTCATAAAAAAGGATCAAAATTCATATATTGGGTAATATAAAAAAACTATTTCCATTGTCAATCAAACAGACTAAGTGAATGATACAGTTAAAAGAATAATCAGAAAAAAGTCTGGTGTTACTCTTTAATGAAAATCACCCTTTACTATACCCCCTACTTCTTGTTCCGCGCTACTTCTTGTTCCGAGTTAATTCCACAAAAAATCCACATTAATTCATTACAAACAAAGATTGATTTCAAATTTCCTTTTCTTTGAAAAATAGATTACACCACATTTAGTTCAAGGGTCTCCGTCCTATAACTAGCACAAATATATATCCTCCACTATATCTCGTACAGTTCAAGTTATCTCATTTATTTACCTAGGATTGGTAGCAGGCCTAACAAAAAATCAATTTTCGTGAGAGATCAACAGTGTGTTCTTGTAATTTAAATATAATGTAAAAGCGCAGGTGCTTAGAGCCCCCCCCCCCCCATTATGATTAATATTTTTTCCAAAGAGAATTAAAACTATATACCTTTCCAATAGTTATATTTTAATTATCTAGTTATTTCCATGCTCTGCCACTGATGCATATTGTTTCAATTAGAAGAGTTATTTTCATAGAGATTTCAATATAAATATATTTTTTTAATTCGAAGAACAATTTCAAAAAAATAATATAACATACCATTTTCACTTTCAATTAAGACATAATTATTATATTACAAGTTTTACCAAGATGCAGTATCAACGTTGCTGGGGGTAATCGAGTCTATCAATGCCACACATGGTCTGCACTGTTCACTCTTCAATCAAAATGTATTTTGAATTTTTTTTCCCTAAAAATATTAATGGTTTTGCCTAGATTGGGAGGCAGAAATGTCTATTTGTGATAAAACGGGAAGTAAGGGACTAAAACTGATCTGGTAGTAGTAATATATATTCATATCTCATCATTGAACAGATATTATATACACAACGTTTAAGACAAAAGTTTACAGCATTAAAGTACAAGGCCACTCCAACATGGTGTTATAAAAGATGAAAAAAGAAAAACGACAAAAAAAAACAACAACAAAAAAACAACAAAAAACAATAAAAAAAACAACATCACTTCCACAAACAAGAACACTATCACAACGGTGGAATATACATGTACGAGATATATGTATATATACATAAATCATTAAAACAACTAGTTTATATGATAAAACTGGGGGGGGGGGGGCAATGCTATCCATAAACTAACAAAATTAAACATATCGTGACTACCTGAAGAAAAAAAATAGAGGCATATATGTGTGCATTTATAGACAATTCTTACAATTAGTTACGGTCAGCGTTTACAGATAATCAACAAACGTGTCTTTTTTCCTTTATTTTATGGGTTATCAATACCGTTATCAATACTATGTTCGTGAGTTGTCAATTACTGGTTATAAAAATCTGAAAAAGTTTACATGTACAAATAAATTGTTTATAATTTATTTTCCTGGTAAACTACACCCTTTAAATAATCTTCCTTGTTCTGAAAAAAAAAACATGTCCCAATAAATTGTAGATATTTGCCGTGTACATTAGTTTTAACATTCCGCCATGTGTTTCTTTCATTTACATGTAATTAAATGTAATTATTAAACTTTATGACATATTAAAAAGACAGATGTTTTAAGAATTGTTTTTGAAGAATCCCAAATAGCGTTAATTTTCTATATATAATTATAAAAAAGGAATTGAGAATCAAGGCCATATTTCAAAAACAAAAAAATAAATAAAAAAAAATAAGGATGATAAACATGTATCAATTGTGTCCGTGACCATTTACAATGTTGAATAAATATCACCGATGAACATATATTTAGCATAACATGACCACACCTATTTCACTTCATCCTCGAAAACTATATAGGTTCATTGTAAAGGGATGAGTACCGTGGGTTTCCGACAATTCCAGAGACATTGACTGGTCAATTAAATGTGTTCTTGATGTATTTCTATGTTTTCTCATTCATTATGACAATGTTACTATAATTATACATATTCTATTTCTGGCAAATTACGAAATCTGGAAATATTTACGTCGATATTGTTTCACATTATACATACATGTATATGGCGATTTTTCGTGTGATTTTTTTCTATGTATAATTTCTCGCTCAAGTCTTTCTTTCATATATAATATATATCGTTGTTTCCTTTCAAACACATATAGACAGTATACTATTTTATTAAAATGTAGGCGAGGTACTTTAAAATCAAGACACAATGTTGCCAAGAGTCAATCCGACTTTTAGTCATCGCCAGCCTCTCGACTTAATGCCTCATTCACCATTTCCGCCTATCTACAATTCATTCATTATTTTGCCTAGCAATGTCATGAATGTAATCTCGCGGTATTTCTCTACGATCGATGTTTTCCATGAACGGCAATAATACAGCAGGCAATTATTGGAACCGACTGAATGGGAAGAGCGAACGATCATTTGAAAGCTTGTTTCTAGAATAAGCCCATCCCGTTTTACTATTTGTTTTGCTATCTGCTGCAGTCCTCAAGAAATAAAAGATCAATATTTCGCGTGAATCTGTAGGTCACCTGTCACTGCAGACGGCCTGTTATTACAAATCCAAATAAACGCAGTTGGATATGAATGGTGTCTAAACCGCATGACTTCTCACGTGCCAATGATATAACGTGTGCAAATTGCCTTTCCTATAACAATATATGGCCTGCTTAACAATTGTATGACAATATTAAAATGCTTTTTTTTTTCAAGGAAGCAAATATTATTCATATCAACAACTCTGAAAAGAATCTAACCATATATAGTAATCCTTGCTACCGCTGCGTCCCCACGGATACAGTAGACTAGTCGGCAAACATAGCTACTAGCGCCACCTATAAACATGGCAGATTGACCTAAATTTTGATATCCACGTGTATTTTAAATATTCTATGCAATTGTCGCGTCAGTTTTAAAAATAAATAAATGAAAGTAAGTCAATTTTATTCTTACAGTTTTTTTTACGTTCGTACGGTAGACAGACGTTTCATTCCGAAGTCCGAAGACGTTAACACCAAGACGTTTCACTCTTGGGTACCCAAGGACACAACTCTATGCAATTTCTTTTGGTCAACAAACCCTGGTCTGAAGGTATTGTTGGTCTTTTCAATAAAGGCTTTACATATATTTGGCCTCAAATACACCATAATTTAATAACAACAAACACCGTCACGACATCCAAGATCCGATCAATAAGAAAAAAGCATCTGCAAAAAATCTATCAAAGATGATAATAGTGAAAATAGTATGTGAATTATGTACACATCGTGAAGGGATCACAGGTTATAGGCATGGGACTAAGCCTACCTCAGGACCCTCTATACTACCCAAATATCCTTCAACCCATTCAAAATACATGTCAAACAATTCTAACAAAAATGCATTACTGATATACTATAAGCTAGTTTAGGGGTTGACCCCTGGGGGTAGGGCTTGGCCCCACGCCGATAACCTGTGATTGTACAACAGATTAGGAAACTACCTTTACACGACACACTGTTGCACTTCTCTTTTTAAAATATTATTTCCAGATACAAAGCAAATTCATCTGGGACTCACATGTAAGTTACTTGAACGAAGAAATGTATGCTAGCAAAAAAAAAAACGTTTTAATTGGCTCATACGGACACCGTAACATGAAAAAATAATGCGCATATTTGTTATAACATTTTATTAAGAATGGCATTTTCACCTACAATGTATTTTTCCCCGTTCGTATATATTCCTCCAAAGTGAATCTTTGAATAAACAATGTCACCGAAAGAAGTTATTCAATCGTCAGTTACCCACGGTATATATTCCATACATACTACATATCTAGATAATACCGTGAGTAACCGACGACGAGGGTGATCATATTCAATCAGTAGTAGTTAAAATGTTTAGCTCTGTTTCTAGTAAATGCGATAGAAATATGAGAAATTATGAAGAGAACCATATCTACATCTATTAAGTGAATTTGGTCAGGCATTAAAGGCGCACTTAGATAATCCATCATAGGAAAATAGCTCCCCTGGATGAAATTTGGTAGGAATTTGAGTATTTCAATACCAAGTCCCCGTCATATTAAAAATAGGCTTTTTAAAAATATAGCCTGCTTTTTTTTAATTAAAGATGTCTTTAGATATCTACGATTAGATGTCTATGATTTGCCGGCTTCATAACCTCCGATCCTTTTTCGCAATTCCATTTTTTTCTGTTTTAGGCTCAAACATTTTTTTACTTGGAGACCATACACCGCTATTTCTGCGATGGCACAAAGAAGGTCCCATGATCTGCGGATGTGTTTGATTTTAATTACTGCTTAAGCCGGTGCTAGGGGACGTGGACGGTAGCTTGCAATTACAACTACCGCCCATGAACAAATTAATCAAACCAGGGTCATTCAAATAGAAAGACCCTGCTTAAACATAGCCATCAACGTTTTCTATTTTGTCGTTTTGGATGTTCTATAGGTGATTCTCATTTTCTCTATTATATGCAAAAACATACTTCTCTAAAGATATTGTAGATGAATTCGTTTCGCGAGCATTGCAGCTCTATCATAGTTCTCTCGTTTATTCAGTTATATTCCAACATATAAAACCAGCTATGCGGAATTCATTTTTAGTT